CGAAATAAGACCTAACTAGAATATAAGCCCTAATGCGTGTTTTGGATAAAAAATTAATATAAGACCCAGTCTTATTTTCGGGAAAACATGGTAAATCATGATTTAAATCAAGTCGATTTAAATCCACCCCTGGGCAACTCTGTTCCAACCTCCCCAAGCCAAACCCAAAGAGAGCACATCTAGACTCACCCTGGAGGAATTGTTGCGTGTCCAACAGCCAATAGGTTTTCTCCCTCTCCAGTTTGTTGGGCTGGTCCTTGTGGGGTGCCAGTGGCCCCTTCCAGTAAACCCGACTTTGGCACTGCCGTTTCAGGAAGATTCCTTCGGGAGCTACCCAAAGGAGCACGCCACGATTCAAATGGGGGAGCAACCTCTTCAAGACCCAGGTGGCCTTGGGCCCCCAATTTCTGTAGCCTAGGACTTCCGGCGGAGGGAACTGGATTTCTTCGATGCCGCTGGGGCCATACAGGACCTCGTTCTCTTCCATCGCCGTCGAGTAGGTGATCCGGCAGCCTTCTGCAGTGCTTACGGTCATCTCTTTCACGAGCACATCGCAGTAGTAGAGGCGAACGTGAAGGCAGCAATCTGGAATGGGGGGTGAGGGGTGAGGTGAAAGGCCAACGAGAATCAGAAATTGACGTCAGGATGTAGTTGTGGAGTCTACAAAGCCATATGAATTTTTGGGGCTTGAAAGCAAGTGTCAACTCATAAAATATTTCTATGGCTGTGATGGCAAACCTGGGGCACCCACGCCACAGGTGGCACGCAACCCACTTGTATCGGCAGGCGAGCCGTGGGCAAAAGTTACCTCGATGTGCATGCGCGCACCTCACGGCTGATTTTCAGCCTCCCAGAGGCCTGAGGACGGCTTCTGCAGGCTTTTCAGGCCCCAAAATAAGCCTGTTTCATCACTTCCTGTAATACTGGAAAAATTTTGGTGGTCCACAGAGAAATGTCCCCCCCCCCAAAAGCAATTAATCCAGGCTGTGCTGGAACACAAGACTGTGCTGCCCACATGGCCCGCGGGAACACAAGGCTTGCGTTGCTTGCATTGCGAACACGAGGTAGTGAGGGGAGTGGGGAAACGACAGAGAGGGAGAACTTGCCCCACGCGCCTGGCCTGGCCACTGGGCTGATTCTTTCTGCTTCTTTCTTCTTCTGCTTTTGGCTGCACGCAAGGAAAGCAGCCCAAGTCTTTCTTTCTCTCCCCCCAACTCTGCCAGAAATGAGTCTTTGGGACCCTGCAAGGCCTCCTGCTCCAAGAGGCTGCGCCGGCGCAACAAGCCTCACAAAGACTCATTTCTGGCGAAGTTTGGGGGAGAGAAAGAAAGACTTCCACAGCTTCTGCTGCTTTCCTTGCATGAAGCCAAAAGTCTCTCCCTCCCTCTCTCTCCCTGAGAACGAAACTGGAGACGGTACCTTGCAATCCCAAATAAAGAACGATCGATCAGTCAGAAAACGGGGTGGGGAATTTTCCTGCAGACTTTTGGGGGGATTTTCCCAGGGTCTCTGGTCCGAGGGATTTAAAATGATGAGTTTGGTGGTCCCTGAGGCCCAAAAGGTTGGCGACCCCTGGTCTAGTTCATCCCGGAGAAGGTCAGTCTTTGTAGCTACGAATGGTTGACACTGATCTCAAGCCATTTAATCAATCACTCAGTCAATCAGGGTTTTTATTGTTGCCTTTAGCTAATTATTTGGAAACTTCTTCAACTTGCCACTTCCTTTCTCCGAATGAAGAAGAAAATAAATAAGTTCTTCATAGCAATTGCAATTCCTACTTTTTTGGGTGTTTCTGTGTTTTGTCTTGTTTTTCCTGGTCAAGGATATGGAACAACTTTGTGCCTGTGCCACCCTTGCCAATCACACCTCCTTGTGCCTCCCGTCCTAAAGCTAACTAGCCCTGACCCAACCAAGCCTATGGGGGGGAGGGTCGCAACCCTAAACCCCTATACCTACACTCAATTTGCTTTTGCTTGGTAGAGGTCACCTTCAAGAAGTGAGGGGAGCCAAATGTCAACTTGTAAAGCATTCCCTTGCCTGTGCCCGAGCTGCCATAAGCAGGAGTAGTGGAAAACCTGAAGGAGCATAGGGCAATTAAAAACAAAAGTACATTCCACGCTTATCTTACAAAGATTGTAGCCTAGGCACCCTGATGTATGACACACCCAAGGGGGAGGTGGGGAAACAGGGTCAAAGGTGAGTGTAAATTACACGTAGCGGAGTGGGCTTCATCTGGGTTAATGCCAGGAGTGGGATGCTAACCGGTTCTGCCCAGATCTATAGAACCGGTAGCTCTGAAGAGCAGCAGACAACGAACCGGTTCTGTGTTTGCTGCTGTTTGGCCCACCCACCCACCTGGGCTCTTACCTGTCCTTTATTTCCTGCTTTTTCAACCTCCGCTGCTTTGCGCGACACAGCTGAGGTTGAAAAAGCAGGAAAAAAAAGTGGCTTTTCAAATGCTGCGCACCTGTGTGCAATGCTTTTCAGCTATCCCAGCGGCACAGCTTAAGGTTTTTTTACACGCGCGTGCAGGCGTGTAAAACGTAGTCATCGAACCAGAAGTAACACCGGTTGAATCCCACCCCTGGTTAATGTCAACGTGTTGCTCCTAATAAATCTTTTGGATTCCTTTGAAGCTTGGCTCGAGGCTCATTGACTTAATTAGGGCGATCGTCGGAACGCTGACGTTAGCTTTTGCAAGCTTCAGCCGTGGTCAGCGAGGTGGCCGAACGGGATGGGGCGAAGAAATGCTCAAAATCCGTGCCTCTCGTACCTGAATTGATGCTTTTGCCGGGGTCAGGTTGTGAACTGGGACTCACAAAAGCCCGATTTGGATGCTGGCGGAGCTGTGAGGGAGCCCAAGTGTGAAAAAACCCTTTCGCCTGACACCCTGTGGAGCAGAGGACAACAAACGTTAGGAGTTGCTTGTGAATGATGTACTTATTGCATTTATCCCATTCTGATGGATTTGTAGAAAATGGCGAACTAATTCCAGGAGCAGATTTTCCTGCCGGCTTCCCCAGCAAGTCATTGGGGAAGCCAGTAGGATATTTTTAGGATCCGAGCTTCGTTTCACCAGATCGACACAGGAATTTCCTTCTGCCTCCTCCTATCTAAGTCACTCTTTTGGGCCCCATCTGCCTAATGACCACCCTGTTGCATAATGACTTGTTATGACTCCCCTTCAAAATTCAAACGAACAAAACAGAAAGCAGCCGTTTCACAATTAAATCAAACGGAAAGAAGTCTTACAAGATAACGGCTGGCAGAAACCTCAATCCACAGCATAAATCTTTACTCTGTCTGGCAAACCAATCCTGGCAATAAATCTCCAGTCTCAGAGCTTCTTGCTGTAATGTCCTCACTCAAATAAGTCACTTTGTTCCTGGCAAATTGTACCAGCCCAGCTGTGTCCTTTTATACTCATTGAGGCAACGTGCTCATTTACTGACTCGCTCTCCTCCTTCGCTCCAGCTGAGTTTGCCTTCTCAACCGTCTTCTGTTCCTTACATTTAACCACAAATTTTCCAAGTTCTCATCTCCACTAGAAGACTCTCTCAAAACTTCCCTGTCAGCCATTCCCGGCTGTTGATCAGATAAGGAACCAGAGGAGGTCAAAGGTCCTGACAATTCTAATACATCAGGTCTGTCGTCCTTTGTCACGTCCATCTCCTCATCCTGGTTACCAGTCCAATCACTGAGCCATGCCGGCTCATATTTTTCTCCCATGTCCTCCTCACTTGAACTCATATCAGTCACAGGAGCTGAATCCAAGCCCGGAGCCACAACAATGACTGGTTGTTTAGCAGTCACATGGGCATCTCATTTAACAACTACTTCACTTAACAACTGAAATTCAGTTCCCAATAAGTCAAGGATTACCTCTATTGTAAATTGCTAGAAAGCAACTGTGATCCTGGAATACCTATTTTATTGGTGCCTTGTTGTTTTTGTTGTTCCACTCCATTATAGCATACAAATCCACCCCAGAGCAGACCTCACTAACCATACAATGCTGTTATTTTTTATGTATTGGAATTCGTCCTTTATCATAACAGCCATGTTGTTAAAGTGCTGTAAAGGTAAAAGGTAAAGGTTCCCCTCACACATATGTGTTGTGACTCCGGGATTGGAATCTGCTCCGTTGGCAGATGTGAGTTCGAATGAAGAGGACCTGGCAGTGGAATTTGAACCTGCATTGCTGAGTGACTTGGATGGTAGCCAGGATGAGGAAATGGATTTAACTAGGAGAGACGAACCTGATTTAGTAGAGTTGTCAGGACCTCTGACCTCCTCCAATTCTTCCCCTCTGGCTGAGCAGCAGCCAGGAATAGCTAACCAGGAAAACAGGCGAGAGTTTTCCAGCGAAGTAGAGAACTTTGAGAGATCCTGGCTTGATGTGAGAAATAGACGGAGATTGAGACGTCAATCTCAATTGGGAAGGAGGCGTCGAGCCAGTGATTAATTAAGGAGATTAACACGCCCCATAGAGGATAAAAGGAAACGGCTTGGCTGGTGAAATTCGCCAGAAGCAAAGTGATTAATGGGAGTGAAAATACGAAGAGAAATCTTTGAGGTATTGAGAATTTATAGCCACGTCAGGATTGCCGGACAGAGTTCAGATTTACTGCTGAGGACTGAAAATACCTCAGCAGTTCTCTTGTGGGGAGGTTGTTTTTTGGTTTGTGATATTTCTGGAACTGCTGTATTTCGTTTTGCTCACCTTTAATTAAAGGGGAGACATAACACATATGTGCTCATTGTTTCTGGCTCTACGGGGCAGTGCTCATCTCCGTTACAAAGCTGAAGAGCTGGTGCTGTCTGAAGACGTCTCCGTGGTCCTGTGGCCGGCAAGACTAAATGCCAAAGGTGCACAGAATGCTGTTACCTTCCCATAAAGGGGTCCCTATTTTTCTACTTGCATTTTTTTTTTACATGCTTTCGAACTGCTAGGTTGGCAGAAGCTGGGACAAGTAACGGGAGCTCCCTCCGTGATGCGGCGCTAGGGATTCGAACCGCCGAACCGCCGACCTTTCTGATCGACAAGCTCAGCTTCTTAGCCACTGAGCCGCTGCATCCCTCTAAAGTGCTGTATTGCAGGTTAACCCTGCCCACTGCCAGCAGTTCGATCCAGACTGGCTCAAGGTCGATCAGCCTTCCATCCTGCCGTGATCAGTAAAACGAGGACCCAGATTGTTGGGGGGTAAGAGGTCGACTCTGTAAACCAGGGGTCGCCAACCTTTTGGACCCCAGGGACCACCAAACTCATCGTTTTAAGTCCCGCGGACCAGAGACCCTGGGAAAACCCCCCCAAAAGTTGGCAGGAAAATTCCCCACCCTGTTTTCCTACTGATCGATTGTTCTTTATTTGGGATTGCGGGATACCATCTCCAGCTCCGTTCTCAGGGGGAGAGAGAGAGAGAGAAAGAGAGACTGTTGGCTTCATGCAAGGAAAGCAGCAGAAGCCGCAGAAGTCTTTCTTTCTCTCCCCCAAACTCTGCCAGAAATGAGTCTTTGCCGGCGCAGCCTCTTGGAGCAGGCGGCCTTGCAGGGTCCCCAAGACTCATTTCTGGCGGAGTTTGGGGGGAGAGAAAGAAAGACTTTGGCTGCTTTCCTTGCGTGCAGCCAAAAGGAGAAGAAGAAAGAAGCGGAAAGAAGCAACCCGGTGGCCAGGCCAGGCGCGTGGGGCGAGTGGATCAAATTCCCCCTCCGCCCTTTCCCCCTTCCCCTCACTCCCTCGTGCTGTTCGCAATGCAAGCGATGCAAGCCTTGTGTTCCCAGGACCATGTGGGCGTCACAGCCTTGCGTTCCCGCGCAGCCTGGATTAATTGCTTTGGGGGCAACCTTTCTTTGCGGACCACCGAAATTTTCTCACGGACCACCAGTGGTCCCCGGCCCACTGGTTGGCGGCCACTGCTGTAAACCGCTTAGAGAGGGTTGTAAAAGCACCGTGAAATGTTATGTAAGTCTAAGCGCTATGGCTATTTTTGCAAGTAACTCCAGGCAGCGCACAGATCGTTATCCTGCCCTCACAATGTCTCTCCATACCTTTTTCAATTGGGGGCGCAGAGGAGGCCTCCGTTTCCACCTTGCCTTGTAGGTCTGCACTGCCAACCTTCTGGGGAAGTGGGCCAACCCCTGGCTCGTCATCTTGCCTTTTTCCATCAGGCTCTGAAGAGGGTTTGGCCTGGAAAGAAAGGGAATAAAAGTGGTTGAAATTGGGAAGAAGGCATCTCAATGCACATTCTGGAATTTTGTAATGGAGAGGGTCCAGCTGTTTTCCAAGGCACCTGAAGGCCAGACAAAGAAAAATGGATGGAAACTGAGCAAGGAGAGATTCAACCTGGAAATAAGGAGGAATTTCTTGACATTGAGAACCATCAACCCATGGAACAGAAGTTGCCCTCAGAAGTTGTGGGAGCTTCATCCCTTGAGACTTTCAAGAAGAGATTGGATTGCCATCTGTCAGAAATGGTGTAGGGTCTCCTGCTTGGGCAGGGGGTTGGACTAGATGACCTACAAGGTCCCTCCCAACTCTGTTAATTTATTAAATCTATGCTAAAACTTTCAAAAAAAAAACCTGTATAAACATCTGTCAGGAATGGTGTAGGGTCTCCTGACTGGGCAGGGGGTTGGACTAGATGACCTACAAGGTCCCTCCCAACTCTGTTAATCTATTAAATCTAGGCTAAAACTTTCAAAACAAAAACCTGTATAAACATCTGTCAGGAATGGTGTAGGGTCTCCTGAGTGGGCAGGGGGTTGCAATACTATAAATGATAATAATAATAACAACACGATACTAATAATAATATCACCAAGTACTTTTAAGTACATTTCTTTTTATATTAGCTTATTTACATTTTTAGTAATTATAATGATTATAATTATAAACCATCTCTATTTTAGATACATTCATCATCTTTCTTCCTCTAATATTCTATTCTGTTCTGTTCTACTCTACTCTATTCTGAATTCTATTCCGAATTCTATTCTATACTATGCTATGACCAGCGAAATACTGTGGACATAATATACTTAGATTTCAGCAAGGCATTCGACAAAGTAGACCACAACCTTCTTCTTGGTAAGCTAGAAAAAAGTGGGATAGACAGCACCACCACTAGATGGAC